TCGAATTCTTGGGTGTGTGGTCTAGATTGTGATGCTAAAATGAGTTGACTTTGAGTTGTTAGGATGAATTGGGGCGATGAAATTGATGAAGTTGGGAGAACTTGTAGCTTTGAATGGGAGGATGAGAAATTAGGTGATTCTTGATTGATTTTAAATGCATTTGTTTTCGATGCAGGTTGTATTTATGTTCTTTTATGCTTTTCATGTTGTTGGAAGTTTTGGATTTTAGGTTGAATGGCCAAATCAAGTTCCACATAGGTACAAAACCTGATATCGCACTGAGTGTAGCTTCAGGACACTAAGCGTGACTCCAAAGAAAGGTCTTTGTCCCACTTATGTCACGCATAGGATCGGTGGCACCAAACATGAGAAGAGAGACTCGTCTTTGTTTGGCATTGGGCATGTGTCAGGCAAATAACTGTCTGCTTAGTTGAGATCAAGTGTGGGTGTTGCCACGTTGGGAGTGAGAGAGTAGGAAACTCTCTGCCTTAATCATGTCGGGTGCAAGCGATGTGGCGTCGGGTGTGGATGAGACAAAGTTCTCTTTAATTTGCCTTAATGGCATTAGGTGCCTATAGAGGACGTCAGGCGCGAGTCACATGCTAAAAAGTTAATTGTTTAAGATGTTTTAATAACTGATTAATGATGAATAAGTTGTATGAGTAATGATGTAAGATGACATATGTGTTGATATGCAGTAAATTGAACATGTTGTATAGTTGTGAGTTATTTTTAAGTTGTTTAAGCTAAATTTGATGTTGTTATATTAAGCTGCGCATGTTGCAAAGATGTACATTATTTAAATTGTTCACACTGGTAAGCTGTATGTTGAAAGTTAATAAAGTCGTTGAGTTGATAAGTTATGGATATGTGGGTTAGATATATATCTTAACTACAATATGTAAAAACTAGAGGGGAGTAAGTTGTTTTCAAAATTAGAATATCTCATTGTGCGATATATGTTGCAGTGCTTCGAAAGCCGGTTGAAACCCTTTAGTATGTAAATTGGCCTTTAAATGGGTAAGTTGTTTTTTAGTTGTTCCCTCTAGGTTTTATGTGGTATCCATTTGTGGGCAAGATTAATGCATGTGTATAAAGTGACCGCTATAAGTAAAGTACTAGTTTAGGAATTAGTTTCTAACCTAGTATTGGAGGGTTGTGATATTTAAAGGGTAATCTGTGAGCTAATCCTATAGGTGGCTTAGTGTTGTAGGCTAATGTCGTGGTAAGCCCTTACCCAAACTGTTATACCTTGACATAGTATCATACTTCCTAGTTTAAGTGGTGAAACATGATAAATCAATTTAGCTTATGCTAGTCGTTGTTTCTAGCCTTGTGCTAGCTATTGTTTTTTGACCTTAATCCCAATCATTGTTTTTTAGTGTTATACAAGTTGTTGTAATTCGGTAGGATCAAGTCACTTAAACAATTTATCCTATGTTGTAAAAGATCTCCATAATTGATATGTGTACGATGCATCAAATGTGATGTATATATTAATATGATAAATGTGTTGTGAGTTGTTAAGTTGTTGTACTAACGATGTTGTCCTATTGTGAGTTGTTATATTTATTATGATGATATTGTTTATGTTGAATTATTTTCATAAGCTTACCCTATTTTTTTTTCTTGTGATTAAAATTGTAATGATTATACTTGATATAAGAGTAAAATAAAATTAACGGAATGACTTGTATAATTAGAAGATAACCACTCTAAAAATGGTTAAGTTTTTATTTATTTATATTTTTATTGATAATTACTTCAATTGTAATTAAATCTTGTATAGATGTTGGCTAACGCTTAGACTTATTTTATATTCAATACGGTATTTTGTATATAATATATATGTACACAAATTATTATTATGTTGCTTATTCCTTAATTACATATATTGTATACATGATATTAATCTTTAGTTGCATGATAAATCCAAAGTCTAAATATTCAATTGATACATTACATTTTACTCTTTCAAAATTAATTACATAGTATCTATTAGGATTAATTTATTTTTGTAATCAAATAAAGATTGTTGTCAAATACAACCAAACCTGTATTCGAATAAAAAATGATAAGCATTTATGGTACATTAGGCACATTTGAATACAAAATAAGTACATTGGAATACAACAAATAACATTAAAAAAATAACATACAAATTCAAATAAAATAGAGTCACAATTGATTACAAGACTATATTTCACATATTATTTCTACGATCATTAATCAATTAAACAAAAGTTTTAACCGAATATAATGTCTTAAAAAACTCATGATCAATCAACAAAGAGGGACAACACGGTCATGAATGGACTTACATACTTGTGCAACATTTCTCATCTATTTCTCTACAAAACTGCAAAAAAAAAAAAAAAAAAAGTAAGATCCACACCTTTTTCCATTTCTGATCTAACAATTTCTTATTAAACAAACAAGTAAACTTATTTCCTTTCCTTAAGTCCAATGCCCTCTTCACTATTTCGAGGCCAGCAGAAAGTTAAAGTTTATTTATTTATTTATTTTATCAGCCAAGCAATAAATATTATATATAATATAAAAACACCAGAGTCACTCAATTACATATATAAAAAGTCACAAAACAAGTTTAAATAATAACTTACAAATTACTTAGCAGAAAGTTAAAGTTCATGACCTATTATTATTGAATATATGTTTATGAATTGAACGAATTTTTCTCACAAGCTCATATCCTAGTGAAGATTCAAATGTTAGTCTATCAATTTGTAAAAAGATAATCTCTTTAACTAAACTCAACTTCCGTTGGTAACGCACTAATTAATTGCCCAAAGAAAACAATCATTTAAAATTAAGCTATTATTTAATAAACATTTTTTTTGCAAACATAGTTTATCGTATTTAAGAATATATGTTCACAAAAGACGAAAAATAATTTAAAGGGAAATTTGTGATGAAAGAACTCCTTCTGTCTCATTTTATTCCACATTTCAGCAAAATAAAAAAATCTCTTTTTAATATTATTTTATAATGTGAATGACAAACTTATTAAATATATTTATCTGATTATATTTTAATCATTTTAATTAAATTCAACTTTTATTAATATTTACGGCATCGACTTCTAAAAGTAAAATGGTATAGGTTAACCATATGATAAAAACGAATTGAAAATCTTGACCTATCCTTGTTAGAGATAGGTTGACTAATTTGTGTAAAATTTAATATTTTTTTTCTTGGTAAATGATTTATAACAAATTTTTTTTCTTAAATTTCAATATTACAATACAAAATAATAAATTAAAAATTACGATAAGTCTTTCTTTTCAACCAAAATTGCTATTAATAACTTTTGAACAACACAAAATCAAAATAATTTTTAAGAATTACAACAAATACTATTAGTCTTTCAATGATAAAAATATACTACAATAAAAAAATAACACACCATAAATTACAACATAAATAAATAAATATTTAATTAACTCAATAGATTGATGGATTAGATGTAACAGACTATGCAAACTAAAATATTTATCCTGAATTGCGACCCACTTTGTCACTTTTATATTTAACACTCAACCCAAAGAAAAAAAAGTTAAATATTATTTAAACTTTTAAGCTATTATTTAGTAATATTTTTTTTAGTTTGCAACATAGTTAATGAAGATTAAGAATATATGTTTACAAGAATCACTTGAATCGGCTTAATAATAAAAAGTATGAATATTATGTATGAAATTTTAAGTTGGAACTGTTATGATATTGTAATTCTTTCATAAAAAATAATGCACGTTTACAAAACCCATAAATTAATTTAAGGAACTTGTTCTAGGTAATGTAATTCTCTTATATTGCATATTGTGCTTCTCATACCTTTTTTTGTTTTAATTTAGTTAGTACCGTCAGCCTTGTGCACCGAAGAGAAACCTTAGACAAGTGAAAATAATAACTAACCAATCTAGTTTGCAAGAAAAATTTCTAAATTCTTATGTATTAACTAAAGTAGACAAAGGAAAAAGGAGTTGAACTTTTTACTCAATTGCGATTCTCCTTCAAAATTAATTAATTTAGCAAAAAAATATTTTAAAAATATTTAAGTTGTATTATTCTTAATTTAATTGCTATTTAATAATTACGCACTAATTAACAAATGATTTATTTATTTTCCTCTTATAAATTAAACAAAGTACCTGTCTTTTTTCATTAAAATTTCTCTTTTCTTCCCTTTAGAAACAGACAGCCTATGTATATATATATATATATATATATATGCATATTTATATTTTATAGCATGATCTGTTTAAAAGTACGCAGTACCCCATCCCAACCAAAGTATCAACATTTATCGTTATTTTTTTTTTGTTGGTATGATTGGATTTCTATACAATGAGGAAGATACTAGAAACTGCAGTGAAGGGGTCAGTGGATAGAAAATCGAGTCATCAGTGGCACTGTTCTTTATCTAAAACTAAAAACTTTGTGATGATGAACTATGAGCACCAAATTATTATACTATGTACTCAAATTCAAAACAATACTAATACTTATATACATATAGAAAGACTTTATGAAAACAGTAATTGGAAAGGCGAGTAATTAAACGACCATAATAACTAAAGTGAAGCAACAGGAATTTTTTTTTTTCCTTAGAATCAGAAATTCAAAAACACATGAAAAGGAAAGGAACTAAAAAAAGGAACCAAAAAGAGATGGACCACTGAAAGAGATAAACAAGGAAGGTAATAATAATGGACATCACATTGGACACTCCTCATAGGAAAAGCCAAAAAAACACCCCTTCATGTTTCTAATCCTGTCTAAGGAGGAGTGAGGCTGGCTGACACGTGGCACGAGGGAAACAATCCAAAGGGGTTAAGGACGGGTTTTGGTTTTTGGTGGGGAGGGTGACCTGCTATAGCCGGTGACATGTACCCTTTAACTGGCTTGTCCGGTTGTGTGGTCAAAACCATGAAGATAAATATAAAGGGTTTAAGACCACTGTTGCGTGGTTTTTGTTTACGGTATTGGTGGGTTTTTGTCCCTTTAAACTCTTCTGTTATTCTATCTATTATTCTATCTATTGTTTCGTTCCATCTCACAAAACAAGAAAAAAAATAAAAAGAAAAAGGAAAAAATGAAAATTTCACGTTCCTGAGAGAGAGAGAAAGAGAAAGTTCAGGACTTAAATGCTTTCAGTGCCTGAATTCCCTTAGATCTCTTGCATTTCCAAACAGTTTTCCGGGGTTTTTGCTTTGCACGCAAGTTGTACTTTTTTTCGCTGTCGGAAAATGAGTTTCATCGGAAATTTCGTTGCTTGATCGTAGTTTGGTTCCTCGGATCGTTGTTCGAATGTTGTTGTCTCAAGAGGTGAGTTGGTGGGAGAGGTTTTATTGTATGTCAGAGGTTTTGAATTTTTTTTTTTGGTGTGTGTTTCTTCTCATCGTCTCATGGTTCTCGGTGCGATCTCATCGTGGTTGTGTGGTGGAGATTGTTTGTTTACTCTCTCTCTTGTTGAATTTCGGAGATGCAATGAACAGAATTGTGGTGGATTGTACGCAATTTTGTTCTTACTTCTGGAGATTCTGTTTTTATTTTGGAAAAAAATTCTGGGGTGTTGTTGATTTGAGAATTGAAGATCCGATCGTGGAAGTTTGGTTGTGTTTGTTGTATGCAAATGGTTTTTCGTTTGTTTCAATGAAAAAAATTATTTTTTTAATGGGGTTGATGTTGTGGACTTTGTGTTGAGGAGTTCAAGTTCTTTGATTTGGATGCAAGTGCTGCAGGTTCTTGGAATTTGGTTCTTTTTTGTTGATCTCGCACAATTAGAACTCGGCAACTAATTGCAGCGTGTATTTGCTTTATGATGGTTTTGAATTTTATGATCCTTCCATGCGTGTGTTTCTATTTTGTTTTTGAACTTCTGATCGTGGATTTATATATACGATTCTTTAATTCGCTGACATCTCGGGAACGATTGAATAATTGGGAATTTTTTTTCCTGCAGTTCCTTGAAATTCGTCTGAATTCATGTTAGCATTCGGATTTCGTGTGATCAATTTCATGTTTCTTATGTGGATTCAACTTTCTACCCCTTTTATGTGCGTTCTATTGTTTATCGTCATGTTCTTTTCAATGAAATTGAATCCGGGAGTCAAATGGGTCTTTTCTGGAGTTCCCTTAAATCTGACCTCGTTTATTCCGCATGCATTCATCTGGGATATGAATGGTACTATACTGCAACAGTTAGGTGGATTTTGTGACAGATTTGGTTTCTCTGACGTCTTGCTTCTTTAATGTTATTTTTCATATTTATTTTTCTGACAGATTTAGTTAATTTAGTGAATTTTCCTCTGTACATGATCTTAATTATTTCATATGTAAGATATAAGTCCTCGAGCAAATAGAAATTGTCCTTGTCAATTGAAGCTTAGATTATTCAAGTTGCATTCCTTGGTTTGGTAGTATGGGGAGAACCAATAACTGTGGGGCTATGTGTATTTTTTATCAAGTAACCGTCGATTTGAAAAATTTGCACATGTCTTGTTCCGGTGGTAGTGTGTCATTGCTTTCCTAATTTGCAAAGTTTAGCAAAATGTGAAAATTAACTTGATACATGTCTTCCTTTAATATTATGGCAGTGAAAAAGATCTGCTGTATTTGTGTTTCTGGTTATTTGATGAGCCAACTATGGTGTTGAAGAAGAGGGTTGATTATAGATTTAAAGGCTTTCGAGTCCCAGTTATACCTAAAGCTCCTAGATCTGCAAGAGTAAGTACTTAGTACATTTTGCAAGTGTGCTAGTTGTTTTATGTTTTCCATTTTTGTGCATTGAACTCTATTTTGATCCTTTTTTTGATAAATGTTCAGAGGAGGGGTTCTTTCAACAAAGATGATGATGGTCGAGCCTGTGCTATTGAACTACTGGCTTCTTTAGCTGGGCAGTTGTTGCAGGAGAGTGAAAGTTCTGCTTCCAGCAATGCATCTGAAGGAAATCATCAGCCTGCATTTAGCCACGGTGTCATTGGGCAAGATAGACAGGATGAAGTGAAACCATTAAAAACCGAGGAAGTTCATCAGGGAAGTTGTGCAGAGAGTACTTTTAAGACTGAGGTAGCCTCACAAAACAGTAGTCGGAAATCTGTTTCACATGCCAAGACTGATTGTTTGCTAGAGCACGTTTCAGTTAATACTAATTCTGACTGTCGGAAGAAAGTTGAAGCTGATGTTAAGACTGAAATTTCCGATTGTGATAATAAGTTTGGACATTATTCTGATAGGTTAGTAGAAACACCTGAAAACTTTAGGGAGTCTAGCGATGGTAACATAAAGAAAGGATTTAAATGGGAACAGGAGGTCGGCAGTTCATGCTTTCGGGAATCAACTTTGGCTGATAAATGTAGTTTGAAGGAGCACTTAGAATTGTATGTATCTCCTACACTAATTGACTCAAAAAGTAATCTTAAGTCTCCATTTCATAGGAAATCTTTTCCCAGTGCATCCTTTTCCAGGCATGGGAATGGTAGTAAGTTAGGTTTTAGAGATGATGACGAAAACTTTTTAAGGTGCAAAAAAGCTTGCACGAAATCAAAGGCTTTTAGGTCTCCACGACGCATTGCACACCGAAGAATCAGGAATTTGATGTCTTCCAAATACTGGAAGACAGCTCCAAAGTTGAAGGACTGCGAACTTTCTAGATCCGGTAATGTGGCTTATAAATGTGCTACCAAATGCTTTGTTATTTGCTGCATGCTATGTCTATGAGTTTAATTGTGTCTCTCACCGAAAGTAATATAAAATTTGCAGATTTAGGAGTACCAAATTATCATAAGAGGAAGACTTGTTATGGTGTTGAAAGGTCTCAGCTTAACACCATTGTTAAAAGGAGGAAATTCTTTGACAGAGTTTCAGGGGTAACTTCTGATGGAGGATTTAGCAGTGAGAGTGTGTCCAATTCACCTCAGAAAGGGACAGATAGAGACAAGCCTAGCTCATCTGCAAAACTTCATGTATCTAAGGCCAAGGATTCTCATGGTAACTAATTCTATTATGTTCATTCATTGTTTATCTTAATTGTTCCTTTCACTTGATAGTAACTTATTTTCTCTGTGTACCTTGTGAACAGTGAAGTTTAGCATTAAGTCAATAAGGATACCAGAGCTTTATATTGAGGTTCCTGAAACTGCAACTGTTGGTTCACTAAAGGTATAAATAGAGATAGCTTTACTTCTATTTTTCAAAATATTCATTACTGTTGTCAATGCTTCATCCATGCATTTGCAGTCTTGTCTGGCTCTAACCTTTGCAATGTGTGTTCTTGCAAAATTTTTGTAGAGGAGAATCATGGAGGCAGTGATGGCTATAGTTGGAGGTGGTGCGCATGTTGGTGTTCTTCTTCAGGGGAAAAAAGTTAGAGATGACAATAGAACACTTGTGCAGACTGGTATATCTTGCAATGAAAATTTGGATAGCCTCAGTTTCATGTTGGAGCCCACTTCTCTACAAGCTTCTCCAATTTTGTGTGTTGGTGATCCTTGTTCTCAATGTGAAACATCTCAGCCTACCAGGTGAGCCAAACTTTATGACATTGTTACTTTTAATCACCATAGCTAATTCATGGGGTAGAAATTATGATTCAGTTATATGCATTCAAATTTTTATTTTGATACTATAACTAATATCATTATATGATTTTTCTAGGCCCACAGAAACTCCTGTCTTAGATTCAGGGATTACAGATACTTTACATGACTCACCCTTGCTGACATATCCGGGCAACCTAATTGAAAGTAACCACGAGTTTACTTCTTCACCCGCCGACACTACAGTTGACAACATAACACCTGATTCCAGAGCACTAGTTGCTGTTCCAGCTATCACAGAAGCATTAGCTGTGGTTCCTGTGAGTCAGAAAACCAAGCGCTCTGACTTTGCACAGCGTCGAACCAGGAGACCATTCTCTGTGGCTGAGGTAGAAGCACTCGTTCATGCAGTTGAGGAACTAGGAACTGGGAGGTACGATGTTATCAATAAATCAGCTTTACCTGCAGATAGTTGTAGATCATACGTCGACCAATGATAGAGGACAAAACTGGCCTGCTGATAATGTTTATATACTATGCAGGTGGCGTGATGTTAAGTTGCGAGCTTTTGAGAATGCAGACCATAGGACATATGTAGACTTAAAGGTACATTATTTTTTTCCTCCCCTCTGTACCAAGTACCTTTTAACATATGTGGGGTTTCTTTACATGGTTTAACTACTAGAAAGATAATACATAAAAAAAAAAAGGCATTTGAGTTATGGTTAATTTGGTATTGGTCTTTGTCATTATTTCTGTTGGTATTACGGCTCCTGTTTGATCCTATAGATATTCAGTTGGTCCCTGGGATAATATGATTAGTTTGTTTAGTCCATTTCTGTTTTATTTTATGTTTTTGTATGGGTAATTCTTAAATATTATGCTCAGAATTATGCTTGTTTTCTTAAGATGATGAAATAACTCTTTTAATAAAAAAAGGATTGGCACAATTGCACTGATTCAATCCATTTCATGGTTAGTTTGGTTATAAGGGCATAAATTGTAATGCTACTAGCATTGCTTAATTGTTACTTGATGTGCACAGGATAAATGGAAAACATTGGTGCACACTGCAACAATCTCCCCTCAACAAAGGAGAGGAGAGCCAGTACCTCAGGAGCTCTTAGACAGGGTTTTGGCTGCACATGCTTTCTGGTCTCAGCACCAAACTAAGCAACATGGCAAGCACCAAGCTGGACCTGGAACCTTGAAGATTGCAGAAGCCTCAGCTGAAAGACAGTGTGTGTGTTGAAGGTGTACAATCACTTGTGATGATGGTGTAGAAAGGAGTGGTGGTGGTGTTGTTGACAGGACAAAGAGGAAGACAAACTTGTACATTTTGATTCAATTTCATGTAATATTCTTACACCAAATTCTTTGCCGGCCATTAATTGCATTCGGGTTGGCATTTGTACATGATTTGATGCAATAAGGTTGTTGTTCTAACAGGAACTTATGCTGTTCTTTGATTTTTTTTCTTGATTCTTTTTCATTTATGAATGTATGTAGAAATGTAAAAAAGAACATGACAGGCCAAAGGAAAGGTGAAAATGTTCATGTTATTATCTTTCTCTTCATTTATGGAAATTATTGTTCCCACTTGTTTGATACTCACTTTCTATTTGCTGAATTGGTTCATGTTTACTATTTTGTATGTTTATTTTTGCTTTTGATGGTAAATATATTTATATATTCTTTAAATCAAAGTATCCCATAATCGAAAGATAAAAAATAATCTCTTCGGAGTTTTGAAATCTATTTAAAGAACTGATATTTTCTAATACATTTTTTCAAGACTGATGAAAAAAAAAAAATATTTTTCTATATAGTTATTTTGTTGTAAGAAAAATAGAAGTCATATCTTATTGTACAAATTAGTTGTGAATATAAGTTGAGGGTGAGGAGGGTCCACCATTATTTAGAGTTGTGGCTATGATTTAACTTTATAAAAAGTGGATGAAGACAAAGAGGACTGTGGATACAAGGACGAATATTCCCCCTCCTCCGGGATCCTTATCCGCAGTTTACACGAAATTCAATGTGCACGTGCCCCATACAATTCTTTTTAATCATAAAATCATTTTTTATGCCTTTAAATCAATAATCCAAGCGTGTGGTTTAGCTGTAGGGGTTGATTCACGCTTAAGCAAAGTCAGTGGTTCGAATCCTGCCTTATGTATGCAGCAGTGTTATCGGCGGTAGATACTCCAGGGACGAAAAAAAAAAAAAACAATAACGCTATTGATTGGTGTCAATTATTATTATTATTTGTTTTTATTTTTTATGATTAACTAAATTTGAAGCTACTCTAGATTCTGTCAAAGAAACAAAAGTAAGTCTAGATTAAACAGAAAATAGGATTTTGTATAATTAAATATGTTTTCATGAATTTCATTTTCAAATAATAATAAATAACGTCAATATTTTAATAAAATTGACCGTAACAGTAGTAAATTGTGAAACTTTCATTTAATCATTTAATATCTATATTCTGGTCAGCATTTTATTTCAGTTCTACATAAAATTTTTATGTTTTAGTGTTTTTACGTTTTCTTTTTTTAATGTTTGTTAGTTTTATAGTGATGCAAAACTGTTACAAATGAAGACGTAAAAAACTAAAACATAAAAAAACTATTATTTGTACGGACTGAAACAAATATATTTTTCTTTTAGTAAACGGTCATTTTAGTCCATTAATTTGAAATATTTTGTTATATTAGTTTTTAAGATTAAAAATTTAAGAAAATGATAAATAAGTTATTGAAAGTACAAATTAACAATCATATTTATCCTGTCTTAAAAAAAATAAAAAACAATCATATTAATTCAAACTCAAAAAAAATAAATTAAAATGATAATATTAATATATAATCAAAGATCAAAATGACATTTATTAGTTAAATATAACATTTTTTTGGGTTTAATGACTAATGTGAACATGCTTTACCACTTTCAAGGATCAAAGTAATTGTTAATTGAATATTTTAATCGTATGAACTAAAATAAAATGTAATTATATAAAAGATAATGCTTACTTAAATTATTGTAAAATTATAGGGTCGGTCTAAAGGTAAAAGGTTGGAGTTTGGATTTTTGTTTGAATTTTGTGTCATTATTGTAATTTCGATGGATCAAAAGAAAATTAAATTCATTGTGTAATCGTATGAAAATTGTCGAAAATGTTGAGTGTAATACTCCAAATTTTTTAAAATTATTATTATTACTATTTATTTATTAAAGGAATTTTGTAAAATATTTTAGAGATTTTCAATGATTATTAGTGTTTTTAATTAAATAATAAATAATCACAAAAATGGTTTTTTTTAATATTTATTAGAAAAATATGTATTTTTATGATATTTTGTTACAATAAATATTTGGAGAAATTTTTTTATATTATAATTATTTATATATTTTATTTTAATATAATTATGTTAGGAGAAATATATTTATTTTATATATTATATATTTGTTAATAATTAATTATTTCATTTTATTATAATTATTAGGGTTGTTTTAATAATTGTTAATTATTTTATATGTATGTGAATATTTTATAAAGTTTTATAATTAAACGATTTATTTATTTTATTAAGTGAAGGAAGAGTTTTATAACTTGATTAAATGTTTTACATGGTAGTATATCCTCTTAGTGAGAGTGTATTGAGGGTGTGACTGAACATGTACTCCTAAACTATTTTACTTGTATTGCTAAAGACAATGCACAAGTGTGATATACGATTTTTTACTAGTGTTATATGCATGAATATACAGTCTGTGTCCATTACATAATATATAAAAATGTTATCTGTTATTGTTTATTATGCTATGAATGAAGCAAATGTGATGATGATATTTATCTGTGTATGCTATATCTTGTTGTATGTTTCTATTTGACTATCCAATATCATGAGATAGAATGAAATGTTTCTCACTCCTTTATTTTGAGTTGTTCTTTTTGTATGTTGTTGCGGATGATCTTTAACACGATATTAAGGATATTAGTGACGAAGTTTAGTCCTCATAGATGAGTTATATTTTGATAGGATGTGACATCGGTATTTAGTTAGAAATTTTCTTCCTGTTATTATGTTTTAAGACAATTCTTTATTTTGGTTGTAATTTCAATTGGCTTTTATTTAAATTAAAACATGATATTAAGGATATTAGTGACGAAGTTTAGTCCTCATAAATGAGTTATATTTTGATAGGATGTGACATCGGTATTTAGTTAGAAATTTTCTTCCTGTTATTATGTTTTAAGACAATTCTTTATTTTTGTTGTAATTTCAATTGGCTTTTATTTAAATTAAAACATGATACCTTCTATGTTGAACATTGAAGATTTATTTATGATAAAGTTTTCTATTCAGTTTTATTTATTCATGTATTATGATATATAAAATAGGAGATGTCACATTAAATTTTTTTTTTGTAGATAAAATATAAATGACATAACATTCTCATAATTATTGCATAGAGAGTCAATGACATACTAATAATCTTTTAACCAAACAATACTATTCCCTTTTTATTGGTAGTCAAAGCCGCAATAAATACCAGTAATTATCAAATTGAGAATTAGTAAAGACCCATCATAAAAGATCAGACTTTACGATGAATTGAAACGATTATTATCACAAATAAAATATTAGATTTAAATGGAAACTTTACAATTTGTAAGTCTCTACACCGTGTTTGATGTATGATACAAACTTGTAATGACACATGGCAGTATAATTTCATATACAGATAATCAATAATTACACAAAATATTAAGATAGCTTTTCCTCGTCTTCCTTGTTCCATATGGCATCAAATGGATCATCGAATTTGAGTGCGCCCCAATGACCAAAGGCCTGTATCCTTAACCGGGGCCTGGAGAAACATCATGAAACATGGGACAAACAGAGGAGTTAGTAGAGTCCAAGCATTGAAGAGAATAAGAAGAAGCATAATTGAAATAGTTTCACATGCTTACAGGTGCTTTCATTGATGGGAAAACATTCCAAAACCTAAGAGTCTCATCCCCAGCACCCGTTACTATAGTCTGCAATTTTCCACATAAAATTAAATGTGATATAAAAAAGGAATAATTTCTTTCCATAACATAAAATAGAATCATGTTATGTGAGGGACATACCTGTCCATCGGGAGACATTGCAAGGTACAGCACTCTCATGCTGTGGCCAGTTAGAGTTGCAACCTAATCAAAATTTCTCCTCAAGGTTAAGAATCAGGACAAGCACATTTTTAGGTTGTAAATTCACCAAAGAATTGTCAAAGTAAAGTACCTTTGCCAATGATGGATATTTCCACACCATGATCTGATTTTGGGAGTAGCCATGAGTACTTACTAGCTCATTCACATTTTTACTCCAAGCAAGGTTGCATACCTGCAGATTATGCATTAAAATATTAGTTGAGATGCTCTTTTGTTTGTTTCATAAAATTCTCTGTAGAGATAAAAGTTTATTTGGATAAAAGCTAGAAGTATTTTTGACACTTCTATACTAATAAAAGTTTTTAATTTTCAGTCGAGATACTCGTTAAAAACTCTTCTAAGTCTTGTATCTAAAGTAAACAGACTTAAAAATGTGTTAGAAATAAACCTGGCTCCCAGTGTCAACACTGTTCAATTGATGGCCATTTGTAGTGTTCCAAAAACGAATACACCTATCAGCAGTTCCACCTCCAGACACAAGGAGGCCACTTTGATGAGGTGACCAAGCAATGGCCTTCACAGCAGCAGTGTGCTCGGTGAGTCTCAAAGCTGGTTGCTGAGAGTGCTGATTCCATACCAGAAGCTGCTCATACAATAAAACATGACATTGAAGAGGTATATCACTAAGCAAAAACCCAACAAGAGGTAATATAATGAAGCACTTTTTCAAATGTAAAGAAAAGGGTGCAAGGAAGGAAACATAAGTATACCTGATTATCATTACCACCAGAAGCAAGTTCCCTGTCATCACATGACCATTTCAATCCACACACCTGTCACAAATTAAGGGATAACAATTGCTATCAATTTCTCAGCTTCCAGTTAGTCATGAAGATTACAAGTTGAAAGAATGTAATTCAAAATGATTTTACCTCAGACTTGTGGCCTACAAGCTTGCTAACAAAGTCACTTGAAACCCTCATGTCATGCTGAAGTATGTTCCTATCTCTGCTCCCAGAAGCCAAAGTGCGAGAGTTCCATGCCAAAACACCAGTTCTTGTCTGATGCCCACCCATGGTTCTGACCTTCTTACACTGTGTTCCATCCCAAATCTGTACCATAAATGCAAAAAATGTTGTCTTATTCTTGATCTTGAAATGCAATAATTCATGTATGAAAAACACAAAATCTAAGCATGCTAACAAAGTACCTGGACTTGACCAAGATTTGTACCAATTGATATAAAAGAACCCTCCCGTGTCCACTGAACAGAACAGACTCCATCATAAGGCCCCAAGTCACATAGCTTAGTCACCTGAAAGTCACATAAAGGTATTTCATTAAAAATTCATCTTGAGATTTCAATTAATGTGAAATCGTTTCGCAGGTTGGGACTCACTTTGCTGTTTGAAGCACTCCACAGATAAACACAAGTGCCTAGCCCCACAGCAAGAACATTTTGTGAGGACCAGTCCACCAGATTCAAGTAAAAGTCATCTTGAAGTGATGGAGCATCCAAAACCTGCACAAGCTCGCCCACTTTTAGCAATCAACATTCAAGTTTTTAACCAGGACCATAATAAGCACACGGTGAAATCATATCAAACTATGATTTCTCACCGCTACAGTTTTCTAAATCATGTAACCATTGTTATCACATTACATGCATGTTCAAATCATTGATCACTCTACAAATTAATTCTTTTTATGATAAGTACCATGCCACCCCCAACTATTTAAAATTAAATGCACTAATTTTTAAAAATACACCAAACAACCCTATTTGGACAGAATTAAGTCAGGTCATTTCTATACCACACTCTCACATGTAACACATTTATTATAACCATTGGATGAACATCAGACGACTCAGATTTCAAATGTGTGTTTGAGGTTGATTGATCAAGAAAAAATAAGAGTTATTCAATCTTCACCCAACAGTTCGGAATCACTAAACGTGTTAATGCATTAAAAAGTGAACTTTTCTAGCATAGACCACAAATATCCTCTTCCAAGCTAACCCTCCCTGTTAGCACCAAGTAAGACGATTATAAACAGCAAAACTCTCCGTAATTGTACGCCAGACCTTGAGAGTCTAAGCCTATTCAAACTAGCCAAGACTACTATAGACAACAAAACTCCACGCATGGTTAGACTATCATAGACAGGACTGGACCTTAAGTCATGTTCAAATCAGTTAAGACTATCATAGACGACAAAACTCCTTGAAATTGTATGGCTAGGACTAGGAATAGGACTACACCTTGAGACATATTCAAATGGGATAAACACGCTAAATAGAGCAGGGTCAATACTCGACTTCAAAACCCTTAAACAGGACTAGAACTTGAGACATGTTAAAGTCAGGAAAGAGCATGATAGAGAATAAAAGTCTCTGGTAGAAGAATCCTAGTGCAAAAAAAGAAGAGCTTGCCTTGTGGGGTGTCTTGGGAACTTTCCTAGGAGGTTTGGGAGGCGGGGTAGAAGAGTCAGAAGCAAAAGCATTGTGCGGCCCCAAAACGGAGGGAGAGTAGGGCGAAGAGGGTGGGGCGGAGTGATCGGTTCTGAAGCGGAGCATGTTCTTGGTGGGACTGATGGGGGAGTGGGGAGCAGCTGCAGGCGAAGAAGGAGAAACAAAGTCAGGACCAAAGAGCTCCGATCTGAGAAGCCTGGAGTAGGCCTCGTTGGCCCCTTCCTTCGCCGGCGAGCCCTTCTCCACCAGCCCGAACGTGTGGAGCCGCGACGACGACCTGCACGGAATGAACCTGTCGCTGCACGTCGACGAGTTCGCTTTCGAAGGGGATGTCAGGTTGGAGATGGACCGGAAGGAAGAAGGGGAAGTAATGCTCGAAATCGAACGAAACGAAGCTGAAGCTGATGCTGATGCTGATGCTGATGCTGATGCTGATGCTGATGCTGATGCTGATGCTGATGCTGATGCTGATGCTGATGCTGATGCTGATGCTGATGCTGATGCTGATGCTGATGCTGCTTTCGTTGTGTCCAGCCGCAGCGTGCCTCCTGACATCCCAGCTGGGAGCTTCAAACCGCTTTTTCTGGCTCCTGGGGACTCCATTTTTCTCAATGAAGAAGAAGAAGAATACAGCTTCTCTCTGTGAAATGGGTGAGGTTATAAATGTAACGGTCCAATTGTGAGGAGTGAGGAGCGTAAGAAGAGAAAGAGGAAAAGAGGCTTAGTTTTGGTGAGACAATCAATATAATAATATATTTCCTTAAACACATTACAACGGTCAGTTACCAATAATAACACTTCTGCACACAAACTAGCCGTTATAATTTTTTTTTTATTATTTTTTTATATTGTGTATTGGGGCTATTTTTATGATCTGGGTTTTTTCCATGTAGGCAATTTTCTCGTTTTGCTTAATAACCCTTTTTTTTAATGGGTTTCACGGGTTATATTTATTAGGAGGATTTCGTGTGATTATAGTAATTGTGTGATTACAGATGTTTAGGAAATTATATGGATACTTGAGAAATTATGAGTAAGTCATGTCGAGATAATTTCAGTGATTATGTAATTATTAATAATGTTTGCGGATGTTCAGAATATTGTGTGTATATTAATCAAAAAAGAATATTGCGTGTATATTTAAGAAAGTTATATTAGGAGTTTTCTGTCAAAAAATAAAAAAGTTAAATTAGGAGTGGTCACAGAAGATTAGGAGGATTTCTTGTAATAATTATAGGAGTTTGTTCTTATGATTAATATATATTTTTACACCTTTATTATTGAGATGCACAACAGAAAAATAATTACATTAGCCGTATTTGTTTATATTAGTGATATAGTTTTAAAGATATAATTTGGTAAATCATTCTTTTTCAAATACAGATGCTTGCAGGAGTTGATTGAACATGAACATAATAAAAAGTTCGCTCCATTGGTAAAAGTATCAATGATTTTGACCAATATTTTTTTTATTTATCAGGTACAACATTTTATTTTAAATATACATCATTTCTCTTTATTTTTTCATATCATCTATCATACATATTTATTATTATTGTTTTTATTTATCAATTTGTAGGTGTCAAATAGGTTTTCGAATGTCAAAAATATTTTGACTCAGAAAATTACAGCATGATCAATAACATTAACAATAAAAAGATACCAAACTATGAAGCATATTGCTTAGTGCTTGTCTTTTGGAGTTAGGAGCTCAATTTGAGTTAGAAATGAAAATAAATAAGATTTTAAACATAGACTTATTATTTGACTTGATTTGATCTATTTAATAAGAATGTTAAGTTTTTAATTTTTTTTTAAAATTCTATTTATTTAAAAAGATTGAATTTAGACTTAAAAAAAATTGTTAGATTTGATAACCCAATATATTTATGTATATAATGTAAAATAAGTTTTTAAATAAGTCAATAAGTCAAATCAGATTTTTAAAAAGATTAGACCAAACCTAAAAAAAAAAGATTATGATAAATAATAAAACAGACTTAATTTACTTTTATAAAATAAACCTGACTTATGTATTCTAAGTTAAGTATATTCCCATCTCTATTTAGAGCCCAAATCCACAGCCACCTTAAACAACAGAATTTTTCTACTTTATTTCTGTGTCTCTTTTTAACTTTAAATACAAGTAAAGAATAGAAAAAAAATGATCATAATCGACATGGAAAGTGAAAATGTGAGCAGCATTACTACTTGTAGGTCCAGCAGCAAATTAGATTACTGGATAAAATGGTCCAAATTAAACAAGTCCTGTGTTTATGAATTGTATTACAATGAATATTTGAGCTGATAATTGCGGAGCCAATCTTCACCTTTTTCAAAATAGTCCATCCTACTGAAAGTTTGTGTATGGAATTGTGGGGCTGATGCAAACATAGCAGCCCCTCGCCATGCATCCAAAACAGGATCCAGTGCTCTAACTATTTTTATGGGCGATCCACACGGCCGAATCATCCGGATTCTGGCCTCAAGGCGTTCGATGATGCCGGGGAAGAGAGAACTTCCACCAGTCACAAGTATGGAGCTAGTCAGTCTCTCTTCCAACCCTTCATCTTTACATGATAACCTCCTTATTGAAACTCCTGCCATCTCATCCAACCCTACCTCATCAACTGCTATCCACTTCGGATTGAACAAAATTTCTGGGCATCTGAACCTTTCAACACCAAAAACAATCTGAAAATCTTCTTTGCTCAGAGGCCGGACACGTGGCGCCTCACCTGGTTGAGAGCTACCTGTTTCTGACTTGGGCACAAATGTTGGATCCAAGTCCTACACCAAAACAACAATTCAGAAAGATTTTTGAGTCATATGTCACAACCATTCAAATGCAGATTGCTTCCACAAAGCATAACTGTTAACAATATAACATTATTATGAAAGACATAATAAGATAACCTGTAGCCTTGAAGAGATGCGGGCTAGCTCTGCATCATCCTCATCTGCTCCTTCCTCACCATCATCATTATCTTTGCTCATCAATTTGTAAAGGTGCCAATCTTCATCTTTGGCACCAAATGTATCCTCACCCTTACCACGATCAAATGCAGCAGTTGTCAACAGGCGCATTCTCTCCCTTTGAGCGGCATTCAGTCTCTCACCACGACCGATGCCACCAGACAAATTATTTCCGTTAGAATGGCCTCCATTTGTCTTGAGCCGTTTTCGTTGGTCCACTCTCTCCGAAAGGTCTTTGTATCTTGCACGCAATTGTTCCAAGTAAAGCTCTGGGTTCTCTCTGCAGTAAGAAGGGCAAATCACAAAGGTTTTAAAGCACAGTAGAGTACTACAGTTTATTATTCAAGCCTTGTGAAGACTCAAGATAAAAGTCATGCTTAGATCCTAACATTAGCTAAGGTAGGTAGTACAGTATTCCCTTCTCTACCTTGTTCAGTGCTCAGGCATTTAGTAACCTTAAACTAGACAGAGAGAATGTTCTTGCTCTCAATTTTTCTTTTTTCCATTTTACCAGGTAGAAATGATTATAAGCTCTTCAACTTGCATAAATATGAAGCAATCTAATTGTAGTTAAACTGGATAAACTAAAGCATGAAACATACAGGCGTCTCTCCTCCTCTAGCTGCTGTTTCCTTTCTCGCTCCAATTCCTCTTCATAACGCCTCTGCTTTAATCGCTGCCGCCCTTCAGACATGGATTTCAGTGACAACTGTTTCTTCTTTTCAACAAGCTATCAACAGAGAACACCCAAAAAAATCATTGTTTACTTCGTAAGGGACAGAGAAGATTGCACAAAGTAATGATTTGGATATCAAAGATCAGAAACAAAATATGGCTAAAAGCAAAAAGATTACAAGTACATTTAAAGGGTGGGAAGACAGCAAGTTGAATACTTCAATCTAATGATGTTATTAGATAAAAACTGACCTGGTCTGGGGTGAGGATGTCATCAGGGATGTTTATAAGAGAATACTTCTCACTAGCATTAGGGCTGGCCTTTTCAGTTTCAGCTTGATCATTCTTTGGTTCACCTTTTGCTTTCCTTAAGGATTGCATAACTTTAATGCGGGCAGATTCTATCTCCTGCCTAGAGACATAACCAGTCTCTGCTAGGAAAGATGGAATTTCACTATCTTCAACTTGTTCAAGCTGTTTTAAAAGAAATTCCAAACCATGCAATTCATTTTCCAATTCGTTTATTCTAGATGACCTCTTTGCCTCGGCCATTTCTCGTAACCTTTGACCTTGTTTCTCTCTTATTGCTGCCTTTCTAGCAATCTCTTCCTCAGAAGGAGGCTCCTCAGTTGGGGGTGGAACCCAAGGGAGCTGCCAACATCTGGTTTTCTCTTCAGCCTCCTTAGCACCTTTCTGACAGACAAAGAAATAAAATCTTAGGAACCATGCGTGAACTATTAAAAAGAAGAACCTTTTCTTACCTGAAACAACCGAGCTTCAGAAGCATAGTCCAGTGCAATATAACAGTGTTCCATTTTCAGGTCTTCAACCTTTTCCCATGTAAATCTAGACCTGCATTGATAATTTAAAGAGAAAAAAAGTAAACCAAAGAAATACTATGCATTTAGCAGTCAGATTGATGGTAGCAGACCCAGGATGATTTTATACTCACATATGATAAGGATATTTAAGTGAAAGAAGTTGCTTTAAATAATCAGTCACATGGAATCCACCAATATTAGTACGGCAGCATCCTTTATAAATAGGCTCTCCATCTACAAACTGGAAATATAAAAAAAAATGATTACAAAGAATTAGAACACTTTATACACTTGAAGGTTATCTAAATCCTATTGGCAGAACTGACCATTGAATTTACTTAATTATTTTTCCCCATAGGAGATCCTCCACAAAGAAAGTAGGAACACATCACTTTCAACAAGTCACAGCCTCTTTTTACAAGGACAGATGTAAAATTGTGTTTAGTAGCCCTCTTTTTAAATTTATAAGTTATTTTAGAAGAGGTTGGTAAGGAGATTCTTTTATATTAGTATTGGTGATTATTGATTCCCTAAACATCTTGAAAATAATTATGCAGATCAACACTATTATTGGTGAAAGAGTTACGAAGTCTGCTACAGCAGCACAACACAGAAAATGGGTATGCTCATGGTTGTCAATCTCTAGTGACAACTCGTAAACTCGAGTTTACGAGTTTACAAGAGCTTACCTGTACAACTCGGAGGTAAACTCGTTTTTTAGTGAACTCGGAGCAATCTCGGTAAACTCGTGTAAACTCGCGAGACTACCTCCGATATTAAGAGTTCACCATTTTTTTTTTTCACTTACACAAAACGCACTTTTTGTGTTGTGGGTTAGGGCACTTTGTCTCCTTTTCTCCTCTAACCTCCGCAGCGCCTCTTCCACGACTCTTTTCTCTTCTCCACGCCTCACCTCAGCTCCTGACCTCCGTTCCTCACCTCCGCGCCTCAACCACCTCCTCTGCGCGACACCACCTCCGCGCGCGACACCTCCTCTGCGCGACACACCTCCGCGCGCGACACACCTCCACGCGCGACACACCTCCTCCGCGCACACCACCTCCGCGCGCAACACCTCCTCCGCGCGACACCACCGCTCCTCACCTCCGTTCCTCCGCGCGCCTCGCCACCGCGAGCGCAACACCTCCTCCGCGCCGCACCACTGCTCCTCACCTCCGTTACTCATGTGATGTCTTAGTTTTTTATTTGTCTATTTTTA